CATCTTAGAGTATCTGGGATTTTAGGGTCCATATGGGAGAAATTACATGGAGACCATCTCAGAAGTGCAAATTTTAGTATTGCATCTGATGCTGGAAGCCTGCCTTTAATGCCTTTAAGATTGATTCTGTTACAACACCATTTACAACTGGTTGAGGGAAGTAGAGTTCCTTAGATATTTGTAAAAATGAGAATACCTAAAACCAGAACCTTTCCTTGGCTATTACTACAACACCGTCCCATCAGGATGATGTAACTTAGCAAAGCAGAGCTGCTTTTTGGAATGGATGTGTTTAGTGGCACCTCGAGAGCAGAAGGGTCTCACTTCAGCCAAAGTACTGTCCCTGGCCTCCTTCACTCTGCTTAGAGGAAGCACTCATGCATCCTCTAGAGTCTGGCTCTTGCAAGATAAGTGAGCCTTTACCTTTGGGTCAGACAGAAAATGGAAGAGCATTCCCAGTAGTCTGCACAGAGCTAAAAGCATTTTTCTTCACCACACCATGATTATTTTGGACCTTTGCTAAAGTGTGAGAACTCTCAGCTATCTTGATCACAGACAAGGCCTGAATTTAATATGTTTGACAGGTCAAATCAATGTTGTCTCTGGTGAGAGGACATTTGGGAAGTTTCTTCACGAAACACATGCCAGCTAACAGGAAACCTCTCACCTTTCAACATCTCCTCTGCCAGGACAGGAACTTGTATCTCTGTGGCTCCCAAACTCCATCTCTTCTAATGCATCTTCCTGAACTCCTTTTCGAGGTGCATCAGTGCACTCAACTTCAGATGCTCTTGGACTTTCAGCTCTCTCTATAAAATTTTATGCTGTCCCATGTTTATAGGTTCATTGTTCTGCAGCCTGAACAACAAGGCCATGTTTCTGTGTCCATTAGTGAGGGATCTGGATCAGATGTTAGCACACAACACTTCTCACAGCTTAGCCAAAGCACGCAGCCTGGTGCTCCCACTGGCTTTACTATTTATACAGACTGTGGAAAGACAGGTGATATCTGAACCCTGCATAAAGCCTTCAGAGGAATATTTTTTGAACGCTTTACATCATGTGGCTGCAGTGTCTTTGATCTGAAACTAGATTTACCACAGCTTCACACTTATCTCTGAGGAACAGAGAAATGGTGAGTCCATGCATCAACCATCCAAACCACCAAGAACAAAAGGCTGCTGCAGGCTGTGCTTGCCTTGGAGCCTTGTCCTCCATAATCCAGAGTCTAGATAAACACCTAAAATAACCTCAGCCCAGCCCATGGTGTTTTAAGGATGGAAAGGAGGATAAACACAGGGAACTTCTCTTGGGTCCTTCTGTAGCCCCAGTTTTTAACATGGCAATCTCCTTAACTCCTTCACTCTTCAGTGCCAAAGACCCAGCTCATAGTGACTCCATAGAAGAGATCAAAATTTTGTAAGACACATCAGATCCCCTTTCTCTCGACCACAAAACAGTAGACCCAAAGCAAAAGGTCCCAGGATGTCTGTCCAACAATAATCCATTTCCAGTCATTGGCCCTAAATTCTGAGGCACCCTACTGAATCAGCTGTTGCACAAATATTATGTCCTGATTACAGAATTACTGTAGCTTAGGGCCTGTTGGATCAATATCTTGATCCAACACTTTTGTGAACCCTTACTCTGCGACAGCTATTCCCTCTTCCCTCAGTTTCATGATCCAGCCAGTGGTCAAGACAAGGCAGAGCTTTTAAAAGGACTTGGTCTGAGGCGTTTGGTCATGAGTGGGATGTTACACAGAGACTAACAACCCACAGAGCTGATGAGGAGGATGAGTTAGACTTCTGGGCTCCAGTAGATTCCTGCACTGAGGGATGGCTGAACACAGGAGCAGCAGGAGTCTTCTCCTTGTCAAAAAATCACCCTTATAGAGAAAAACGGTGGCAATCCTTAGAGCAGTCTTTTCTACAAGATGGATTTTCAGCTGGACTACAGCCTTGGCTGGTTTTTGCAGCTGAAACAGTATTTCCAATGTTCTCTGAGCAGCCCATGTAATAAAGGAGAATATTACAAGCAAAACAGAAGGTAAATACTCATCAGCATCTTCTGTGCTGAGTCTCTGATTGCATGAAATGTCCAAGAGTTATGATCCACTCTTCAACCATTTTTTGGGGATGGCCTACATCACTTGTTGGAGAACAAGGGTTGATATCACTGCTGGAAAGTTGATTTTAGAAAGTCTGCATGAAGGACAATTTAAAATTACCTCTCTGGTACCTTCCCAATGCTTTCCCAGAGACCACTCTGCTTACAGCCTGTGGAAATGGAATCCTGTCTTCCTTCTGGTGGCAAATATGTAAAAAAGTTTCCCAAGAAAATTGTGGAAAGAAAATTGTGTTCAATATACTTCCTAAACCCAAAGAAGAATGGAAGGCTGTACTCTCAGTAGACTTCAGAAAATTCACTTCTTTCACCACCAGATTCCTGTTCCCAATGCTAACTCTAACCTCACTGTTTCCCTTCCTTTCCACACAAGATTGATTCACAGAACTTGATTTAAAGGATGTTTATTTCCATAACAAAAATGATCAGGGGTCTAGAAAACATGACCTATGAGGAAAGATTGAAAGAATTGGGTTTGTTTAGTCTAGAGAAGAAAAGACTGAGGGGGAGACATGATAACAGCCTTCAACTATGTAAAAGGTTGATGCAGATAGGAAGGTAATAAATTGTTCTCTGTGTCCACTGGGTATAAGACAAGAAATAATGGGTTTAAATTGCGGCAAGGAGGATATAGGTCAAACATTAGACACGTTTCCTAAGAGGAAGGACAGGTGAGAACTGGAATAAATTAGTCAAGGAGCTACAGACTCTCCTGTCACCAGGAATGGCTCAAACCTGGCAAATCTTGCCTCGGGGTAGAGGGATAGACCATCTCTCAAGGTCCTCTCTGCCTGTTTTCCTACTTGTCTGTATTTATACCAGCCAAAATGATCAAAAATATCTTTGTTCCATAGAAAGGAAAGAGAAAACCTTTCTTGAACCCTCCCTCCCCCCCCCCAGAAGTTTTTACTGCTGGTTTTATCTATAGTTACAGTGCATTTGAAGGCATCCACATTTCTTTCTATCTAAGCAATTAACTAAAGGACTGTTTTTACAGGTCCACCCCTCCTGCACATGTTTTCTCTCACGGTTCATGCCATAAAATGATATGTCAGCACCCTATTCAAAAGCTTTCCCCCAGGTGAGAGGTGCAGGACTCCCAGACAAGTAAATCCTGTCCTATCTGGACCCAGCCAGTGAGAACATCATCTGACTGAGGGAGGTTCCTCCACCTCAGGTCCTCGGGTCTCAGGTACAGCCACAACTGTACATACCACACCCCACACTCTGCTTAAAATGAGTGTTTTCCAGGAAACATATGGAATTACACTCACAGAGCAGGCACTGATGGGTAACCTTGGCAGGCAGGATCCCTCTCCTCCTGAGGTGGGAAGCTCAACCCCACAGCACAGATTGGGTTTGGATTCTCTACTCCAGCTCTGCTTGTACCAGTTGTGTCAACCCCTCCAGTTCACCTCCAGCGCAAAGGACAGCGGAGTAAAAACACAACCTCTCTGTCCAGTGAAAAAAACAGAAATATAATTATTCAATGTTGAAGGAAATCTCCATGTTTATGCCTCAAGCAAACCAGGATGGTTCCAGAACATGGAAAGGTTAAACATTAAGCTTCAAAGTAGAAGACAGTAATTAATCTTCAAATCTGTCTTTCCCTCTTCCCCCCATTCCCACTCTGTCCAAAGGGTCTGATGCTATGGACAGCAAGGAGACATTTTTTTCTTTAGGCACTGAACTTTACAGAAGCAAAATGGTTCTGGATCCAGTCATGACTTTTTTTGTGTCATCTGAAGAGCAAAATTATCCAGCCTGAGGCATAACATCTTCTGCCATTTACACCTTAATAAAGCTTTCGTGATGCAGTTTCTTCATTATTTTATTTTTTCAAATGTCATTAAAATTAACTTACCTGTGGAAATTTTTTTACTTAAGGCCAACCATCACATTTCAGTTCTGATAAAAATGTTTCATGTAGCTGTCCCAGACACCATAAAACATAGTTTTAGAATGGTCAAGCTTAAAGGTTTATCTGTGTCAAGTCCAACGACAATTTACCCTCCCTAAAAAAGGAAAAAAACAAACAAACAAACAAAAAAAACCCAAACCAAACAAAAAAAACCCCAACCAACCAAAAAAACCCCCAAAAAACCCAAAACCAAAACCAAAACCAAACCAACCAAACAAACAAACAAACAAACAAAAGAAAAAGGCAAGAATATTTGTATGAATCTTTTTTAGATGTTCTCATTTTTCACCCGAAATGAATTTTTTAAATTGTTAGCCTAACTGCATTTCTAATGTGTTTTATGCATACACACATCCCCATGTATATGCAACCCACCAAAATTTAATTACAGGTTGATTAAACATTTAGGGTGGTACCAAGAGTTTTTTGGGGGTTTTTTGAGTGAAATTCCTTTCTCCCTAAGTTCTTGCTATTGAAACATGTGGAGACATCAATGTCACACAACGTTCCACAAAAGGTGTGCTTCCTTTTGTTTCCAGTTCAACTTCCCATCAAAAAGCTGTGAATCCTACAGGTCCTGCTCGACTGGGCTGGTCTGATAACAGGGTTTGTCTCCATCTGCTGGTGTTTCAGCTTTTAGTGCCTCAAATGTCTGAAAAATACTAATATTTTCGAAAAGATTTGATAAATCCAGGAGATGCTCCTCACTCGGTTTTCTTATTCCTAATTATTACTACTGTGACCAAGTGTTGCCTGTAGGGTTAGGTGGTATTAAGTACAATCATGTTGATATATTGATGCTGATTAGGAATCCATTTTCTCTGCTCACACTGATTTAAGATTCTTTTTCTGATATTGATTAACCTCCTGCCTGAATCAACCCACCAGGGAGGGTAACAGATTTACGCCCAGGGTATAACCCCACGTCATGAAGCAGAGGAATTCACATTTGAGACTTGATCCTTTAACTTTGGACTGATGAAATTGTCAGGAACAATCCCATTAGACAGGACTGCTTCCCTCCACTGATGCTAAAAATGTGATAAATGCCCCATGCCTGGAAGTGTCCAAGGCCAGGTTGGATGGGGCTTGGAGCAACCTGGGCTAGTGGAAGGTGTCCCTGCCCCTGGCAGGGGGTGGAATGGGATGGTCTTTATGGTCCCTTCCAACCAAAACCACTCTGGTATTCCAGCTGCAGGGATGGATACCTCCCATTCTGCCATCTAAAGCTATGGAAGGCAAATCTCATCCTACATTCCTCAAGTATTCATTGCATCCCATGGGCTTGTTCCCTCAGATTAACACAAAATTCTTGTCTTCCAGCTGGATTTAGCCGGTGGGGGACCTATTCCAGAGTCTCTCCCATCAAGGCACAAACATTGACAGTGATCTGGCAGCACATCTAGAAGACAGGGAGCTGATACACAATACCTTGTACACACCACATGTAGGATTCATCTTACCTAACTCTATCCACCTGAGAGGGAAGAGTCAGGTCCCAGCCAGTCATATCAGCTCCCTGAATACCCAGCAGAGATATGCATTTCCAGAGGGCAACTTATTCCATGACTTCAAGACACCTGTCTTTGGCAAAATAAATCCAACCCTAGGAAAACCTTATCACCTGCATTATTTTTTCACTTCAAAATAGAAGATCACTGTCAGCCTTCCCACCTGGCAAAGAACAGATCGGATCTGGACCCATCATTCATCCGATGGACAAGTGAGGCTCTGGAGAAGGCAATGGCAACGCCTTGAATTACTTCAGCTGTGTAAGAACAACTACCAATGCTCTCTTGGTCTGATCCTAAAAAATTTAAATGCCTTTGTCGAAGATATTTGGGGAAAACTAATCCGAGTGAAAGTTTGATGGATCAAATCTCTCGCTTTCAGTGTGAAAACAGAACCTTCCGTGGAGCAGCTCCAGCTCAGCCTCCACGATGGGAAATGAAACGTTACAGTTGTGTGTTAAAGACAGTGGTCACCAGGATATTCAGTTCCTGGGTATAGGAAATGGGGTATTCTTGCTTAAAATAAGTCTCCTTGTAACTTGATTGACCAGTGATTCTAAAGATGATGATAATTCAAGTCATGTGTCAGATCCTAACGTGGGCTGCATTTACTTTTACATTTAAATGCCCCCATGCACATAAATGGAGCCATTACATCAAGAATATACTGTTACATCAAGATTTATTTAACTGAATCCCCCATAATTAGGTCATAACGTCTGATTAAGCAGTTGTTAAACTGTGTCGTAAGGGAATCTACAAAGGGAATGAAATATTTAAAACAGTAATAACATACCTATCCTGCCTCGCTATTTATGCACAGTTAAACACATAAAAACAAAGGAGCAACTCTTAATTACAAGGACAATTTATTTCGCTGACCTCCTTTTTGGGACACATGCCAGGCCCACTGGGGGTTGGTTTGGTGGCGGATTTGGTTGATTTTGCAGGGAAAATGTTGCTGGAGAGGCTGCAGTTTGTCTGCCTGGGGAGAGCAGAGCGTTTCTCAGGGCTAATTTACAGCCTTCCCGAGTGGTCAAGGGCAGCCACGGAGCACACAAATTACAGTTAAAAATAGAGATGGCTTTATGGAATCTCATTCCGGTGGCTTCCAAAGGTACAGGGCCAGGAACACATACATCTCATTCCACGCTGCCTGTGAGCCCATTTTCATCTTTTTTATTTTTTTTTTTTACTTTCCCCCTCGGATCCTGAGCTCCACTCCAGTTTTGAACTTCCATAGGAAGGCAGGAGGTTAAACCAAACTGCTAACTGTGTCTCTTCAAAACTGACATTTAATACAGGGTATAAATCACTGTGGGAGCCTGTTATTCCTTCAGGAATGCAATTACATAGGGTCAAATAAAACATGAAAGAACCCAACAAGTTTTAAAATGTAGTATGTTCTCAAAAGCAGGCAAGAAGGAATGCAAAGCAGTCCAAATATGCTAACATCCACATGTTGTCCTGTGTGAGGGGGATTAGAAGGGAAGGTTTCTGTTCTTTAACGATTAGGTTGTTAAGGGTAGGTTTGTGTGCAGGTTCAGGGCTCTCACTGAATCCCAGCTCACTCAGGGAGCTTTGGGCAGATTACTGTATTTATTCAAAGCAGGTGCCCTTTATGTATCTCATTATTTAATTGCCACTGTAGTTGTATTTAAGATACCACTTAGCACACAAATGGGATATGCAAAATGGACAGTCACCTTTTCCTTGGAGGCTCTGGGATGCAACCCCCATTCATCTGGACCCTGGTGATAGAGAGATATCGGGGAGATATCAGGATACATAAAAGCACAGCATTGCAAAATCATCCCTTTGATAAGCAAACATCTGCCTCCTCCTTCTCTTGCTCTTGAAACAACAGGCAAAGACATAAATAAAGCCTCATGAAACCTGTTAAAACCCGAACAAAAGATGATTAAGTAGGTTCAGCACCTCCTCTAACATCACTCCCTGTCACCCTTCACATTTCACTCACATTTCTCTGAGAAAAGCCTTTCTGCTTTCACATTTTAGCAATGTATTCAAAAAGCCTGGAAGGAAAAGTCCAGAGGTTCTAGCAAATTTTTGAGGTCAAATTCGCCACCCTCAATTTTGCTACTCTGTATTTTATACATTGAAAGCTTAAACTAAGCAAACTGTGAAGTTTCTTAATTGAAAATCTGGGATTTATTGAAGGCAATTTTTATCTGAAAGTAATTTTTTCAGCTAAATGGGATTCTTAAATTCAAAATTAAAGGCTTTACAGTAAAAAATAAATTTTTAGGCATCTTAATATGAGAATTGTTAGAAATGTTTCCTTTTCTTTTTATAAAGAACTGACTCCTCCCCAATAGTGAGTGATGTTTAAAGATATATATATATA